GACACAGCTGGGACTTGCTTAACTGTCTCAAGTGAACAGCTCCTCAAACAAGAAGATCAATATTTGTCAACCCTTAAAATTGACTTTATCTTACGGATGCACAATGGGGAGGGAATCTCTTAAGAACAGTATCTATATCTGACAAATAGTATTATCTAACTCAAACAATGTAAGGTTTATTCTTCACATATTTCTAATGTCTCTTAGATGTTCCCAGTGTCTCAGGTTATCTTATCTTGAGATGATTTCGGGGCTTTTTAGTGTCCCCGCGGCCCGGTCCTCGACCAGGCCTCCACCCCCAGGAAGCAGCCAGTGACAGCTGGCCAACACCCAGGTACCTATTTTACTGCTAGGTAACAGATGCATAGGGTGAAAAAAAAACTCTGCCCATTGTTTCTCGCCGGCGCCTGGGATCGAACCCAGGACCACAGGATCACAGGTCCAGCGTGCTGTCTGCTCGGCCGACCGGCTCCCAGGTAGTGGTCAAGGCTGTATCCACCACCTCAGATTCTACAAAAATAACAGAAATTTTGCTTCAACAGAACTCAATATCATCTGTATTTCATAACATGGAAGAAATTCTTCTTCTACTTCCCTCCCTTTAAAACAACAACTTCTCAATCATACAAACATCAATTGTACATTCTGCTATGGCGGTATGTTCACTCACAAGATGAGTGGCGCTGCCCAATAAACTCGCCCCTCGGGGCAAAATTTAAAATTTTAAATCAAACACCCGTTAAGCTTTCCTTGTTTTCCTTGCAACCGGCCTCCTTGTGGCGTCTCTCTAGTGTAAAACTCAGTTATTCACTGTGACTGTTGCAGCGTCTGGAGACTGTGTTTACATTGCTACTACACAAAGACTGTCTTTGTTTGAGAAAGTTCCAGGACTGCCAGGCGTATGACGATGTCTCAGACTACGCTGCCAGTGGGTAAGATTCTCCGCCCACACACTATACCAAGGGTACGATAATGTCACTGACTAGGAAGACAGGGGAGACAAAATCCCAGCATACAAGATACTGATATGAGATTTAATCACTACGTGTCGCTAACAATAGGCTTGAGGAAGGCATAGAGATACTTGATTCTACAATCAACAGCAGGAGGCTACAAATTCTTGAATCAATCTTAGTCAAAGAAAAAAGAGCTAATATAAACATTCAAGACAAGGACTTTGTCTTATATTATAGGGAGCCGGTCGGCCGAGCGGACAGCACGTTGGACTTGTGATCCTGTGGTCCTGGGTTCGATCCCAGGCGCCGGCTAGAAACAACGGGCAGAGTTTCTTTCACCCTATGCCCCTGTTACCTAGCAGTAAAATAGGTACCTGGGTGTTAGTCAGCTGTCACGGGCTGCTTCCTGGGGGTGGAGGCCTGGTCGAGGACCGGGCCGCGGGGACACTAAAGCCCCGAAATTATCTCAAGATATAATCAATTCTGAGGTCTAGACTTGACCCCATGGAAGATGAGGTCATTCACCTTCCAACTCGTTCTCCTGATAGAACGTCGCTTTTTTGACGTATACCTTCCCTAAGACCAAAAATTGTCGTAATAGAAAATGGAAGCGGCTGGCGAAATTGATATACCGTCCCCGTTTTCTGTTTTGGGTCCTCTGGTAGGTTAGGATAAGGGCGCTTTAGTACGATAGTTTCTTGATGTTGGGGAAATGTTAGGAGGACGGGGGTGTACCTCAGCTCTGCGGCGTGACTCGCCTCACCTCCACCTGGGTATGTAGCCCACTTAGCCAACTGATTACGGGTTATTCATGCCCGTGCTACCTCTTGGGTGGCTTAATTTTCATCAATCAATCAATCTTGCAAAACACCATGTCTCACCTGACGATATATATATATATATATATATATATATATATATATATATATATATATATATATATATATATATATATATATATATATACCAAGTCGAAGGACTTGATGTAAAGTCTTGGACTTCACCAAGTTAAGACGAGACTCGAAGATTAAGACGTTAAGTTGTAAGTCTCATCTTAACCACACACTCAGACCTTGAGAAAGCACTCAGGAAAGTACGAAAGACTTAAGGTATAATTTCTTTATATAAATTTCGCAAATAAGTGCAGATCTTTTTTATCCTATGTTATTATATCTGTGAGAAGACATTACCATTACTTAATAATAACAATAATACACACATTCATATGTACATCTACATATATACTCGTAAATATGAACAAATCCACAAAGGGCCGTGAAGAGGCTTCGAACCTACATCCGAGAGGATGTAGGTTTCTATCTCCTTCGGTGGTTATAATAGGAGCTGCCTCGTATGGGCCAATAGGCCTGCTGCGGTTCTCATTACTGCTATCCCCTACACCTGACTTTCCTCCTCAGCTCTCTCTTGCCTATTTAATGCCTGTCCCTACCTGTCCTCATCACAATCGACTTGAGAATGGTCCAGGACGGACCGAAACGTCGTCGTCTCTTCAATTTCTAGTGTGTGGTCTGGTCAACATCCGAGAGGATCCCTAAGACGTAAATATTTACGTACATATATAATTGAATCGTATAATTACCGTAAATATAATTGAAAAACCCGAGAGAAATGAAGTTAAATGCTAAGAATAACAACAAAAGGGAACCCGGATATAAAAAGCCTAGCAGGAATTATTGAGTCCTTACAGACGCTTTGTTTACACTTGTATTATGACAACAAGTCCTTACAGACGCATTGTTTACACTTGTATTATGACAACAAGTCCTTACAGACGCATTGTTTACACTTGTATTATGACAACAAGTCCTTACAGACGCATTGTTTACACTTGTATTATGACAACAAGTCCTTACAGACGCATTGTTTACACTTGTATTAAGACAACAATGCGTGACCATACACTCACATCAATGACCAAGAAACTATAAGATGCGCGGCGACTGTGCCAGGACACAGACAGAGATATTATTAAGAACATAACACTACGATAGAGGGGGGCATAACTCAGAAGCTCTACGATAGCTCTGGCAACACCGCGGCCAGGGAGCACGATAATAAACTGGTATTTACTTGGTGGTGTCTCGATAACTGAGCAAATACGGGATCAAATTCAGTAGTTTGTTGACATTGTCGATAGGCCAGGCTTATCAAGCGAGCCTCTGTTGTTAGCCCGTATGCCAGAGGCGAAGGGTATTGTAAGTGTTTGGTGATTGTAGGTGTGGTATACAGACAATCAGAGTTTGTAGATTCACCCAGTCAATGATTGTTCAGTGCCAGATAGACGATTGTTTAATTTAGGGGGACCTATATATATATATATATATATATATATATATATATATATATATATATATATATATATATATATATATATATATATATATATATATATGCGGAAAATCCACAGAGAAATATGAAATGAGGTGAACGTTTCGGCTTGTTAAAGCCTTTGTCAACACCAGACTGACTCAGTCTGGTGTTGACAAAGGCTTTAACAAGCCGAAACGTTCACCTCATTTCATATTTCTCTGTGGATTTTCCGCACAAAATGATCAGTGTTTTGTGATCGTCAATTGCATATATATATATATATATATATATATATATATATATATATATATATATATATATATATATATATATATATATATATATATATATATATATATGTGAGGTAGAATGTTTGTCTGTCTGTCCAAAGGTAGAGGTCAGAGACTTATGGCTAGCCTCACCCAAAAATTTTAATCGTCTCTTAATATCATCTTCCGCTTTATTATCTGTGTTTTCTAATCGTCACATATTAATAATCAGCCTCATTTTCGTTTTTTTTATCTCCTTGTGGTTTCTCTCATATCTCCTGTTTTCTTCACCCTTCTCTCGTCTCCTCCTTTCTCTCTTCTTGTCATTCTCATTCTTTCGTAATTATCCTAATTTGCCAGCATCTAATTACACCACTAATTGCTTCACTCATTTTTATCTCCTCCTTCGCTACAATGTTCTCCTTTCCTCTAATTATCATTCTTCACTTCTAATTATCATTCTTCGCTTCTAATTATCATTCTTCACTTCCAATTATCATTCTTCACTTCCAATTATCATTCTTCACTTCTAATTATCATTCTTCACTTCCAATTATCATTCTTCACTTCCAATTATCATTCTTCACTTCCAATTATCATTCTTCACTTCCAATTATCATTCTTCACTTCTAATTATCATTCTTCACTTCCAATTATCATTCTTCACTTCCAATTATCATTCTTCACTTCCAATTATCATTCTTCACTTCCAATTATCATTCTTCACTTCCAATTATCATTCTTCACTTCTAATTATCATTCTTCACTTCCAATTATCATTCTTCACTTCTAATTATCATTCTTCACTTCCAATTATCATTCTTCACTTCTAATTATCATTCTTCACTTCAGGGTATAATTATGTCCCCCTCACACTATGGACCTGGTCACATTTTGGGGATTTTCATACTAATTTTTTTATCTTCGAGTAATCTTCATATTGTCTTTTTTTTTGTCGATATTTATTAATCATTCTCTCCTTATCGTTGTCATTCTCACTATCAGTTGTGCCTCTCTGTTTTTCACGTTAAATCTCTGTCTATGTCTGTTTATATCTGTCTGAGAGCCCCTGATAGGGAAATAAAATAGCAGGAGCTCCCCCCTGACAGGGAAATAAAATAGCAAGGGCTCCCCCCCTGACAGGGAAATAAAGTAGCAAGGACTCCCCCCTGACAGGGAAATAAAATAGCAAGGGCTCCCCGTGACAGGGGAAATAAACTAGCAATTGTGTTTAAATTACTTCCAATTTAAGCATATTTATATGCCTTTTATAACCTTACACGTACAGATATATTACTAAATCTCTCACTCCTTTTCTTCCCACACCCATTTTCTTCCCATTTCTCTCTCTTCTCCCTCTTTATCCACTCAACTTCCATCTGCCTCTTGCAAATGTGTTCTGTGTGTCTGACCTTGTTTCTGATTTGTTTTTTGTATCTTGCAGGTGACCTTCGAGGGCCTCTGGTCACGACAGACTCACCCCAAGGACTTCCCGACCAACGAGTGGCTGACACACTTCTCAGACATCATCGGGGCGTCGCACTCCGCCGACTATCGGGTCTGGGAGTACGGCGGGTACGCCTCCGACGGCCTCCGTCAGGTGGCGGAGTGGGGCTCCACCAGGATGCTGGAGAGTGAGCTGAAACGTCAGGTAAAGGAGGGTCTCGATGCGTACTGGGTCTACCTGTGGATACAACTGGTGCCTGTGGATACACCTGGTACCTGTGGAGACACACCTACATGCATACCTGGTATCTCTACACACATACCTGGTGCCTCCTTACATACCTGGTGTCTTCAGACACCTTCACACACACACCTACACACACACACCTGGTACTTTCACACACCCACACCTGGTACTTTAACACACACATACACACACACACACACCTGGTGCCTACTCAAAACTGTCACTATGGCCGTATATTCCCTCACAAGATGAGTGAAACTGCCCAACACTGTCACTATGGCCGTATATTCACTCACAGGACGAGTGAAACTGCCCCAAATAAACTATAGCCATTCGGGGCCAAATACCCCTTAAATGAATCCAAATATTCCGTTTTCTGTTAAACAAATCTGACCAGTTTGCGTCCATTTTCTCTGACTTCCTTGGCCCCTCTCTCTTCACAAGCATGAAGAACTCCTCTAATACCATCAAGCCATGATGTGACCTGACCTTCTGACCCCCACAGAGCGACCACATCCGGACGATCATCAAGGCGAGAGGTCTGTGGTACCCCAATGTTAACGGCAAAACCTTCGCTGTCTTCAGAGTGGACAACAGACATCACCTGATGTCTTTGGTCTCCATGTTGGGTGAGTTGTGGGAGAGTGAGAGTGGGTGAGAGGGAGAGAGAGAGAGTAGTGGGTGGGAGAAAGAGAGAGAGGAGTGAGAGGGAGAGAGAGTAGTGAGATGGAGGGAGAGAGAAAGAGAGAGTAGTGATAGGGAGGGAGAGAGAAAGAGAGAGAGTAGTGAGAGGGAGGGAGAGAGAAAGAGAGAGTAGTGAGAGGGAGGGAGAGAGAAACAGAGAGAGAGTAGTGAGAGAGAGGGAGAGAGAAAGAGAGAGAGTAGTGAGAGGGAGGGAGAGAGAAAGAGAGAGTAGTGAGAGGGAGGGAGAGAGAAAGAGAGAGAGTAGTGAGAGGGAGGGAGAGAGAAAGAGAGAGTAGTGAGAGGGAGGGAGAGAGAAAGAGAGAGAGTAGTGAGAGGGAGGGCGAGAGAGAGTAGTGAGAGGGAGGGAGAGAGAAAGAGAGAGAGTAGTGAGAGGGAGGGCGAGAGAGAGTAGTGAGAGGGAGGGAGAGAGTAGTGAGAGGGAGAGCGAGAGAGAGTAGTGAGAGGGAGGGAGAGAAAGAGAAAGAGAGAGAGTAGTGAGAGGGAGGGCGAGAGAGAGTAGTGAGAGGGAGAAAGAGAGAAAGAGAGTAGTGAGAGTGAGGGAGAGAGAAAGAGAGTAGTGAGAGTGTATACAAAACATTATACAGTGTTCTTTGTCGATAAATTAAATAACCATTAATAAATATATTACTAAGTCTCCACATATATTTATATATACTTTATATATGTATGTACCACGTGTCCGTATGTGCGGCGGACTATCAGTTAAAATGTTTAAAGGTTGGTATATAAGTTTCTGGGTACGACATGAATCGGTTAACTGCTTGTTGAGTGTCTTAGAAGCGCAGGCGACCCCGTGAGAGTGTGTGTGTCTGTGTGTGTGTGTGTGTCTCCCAGACATGAATCAGGCCAGCCAATCCCATACGATTGTTTACTGCTGTTCAATGAATGATTCTTAGGGTTTGTTATGATTTTATGTACTAAACACCTGCGTATGTTCTAGTAGAGTGAGTGTGTGTGATGTTTAAGTGGTTATACAGTGTACTGTGAGAGGGTAGGAAGTAGTTATTCACAGTTGGTAATGCCCCTTTGTTTACCTGTGGGGTGGTCGAGAGGTCCGCCCCATTGATACGTGGGTCGTTTCAGAGGTGTGGTATTCCGATTGTGAGGAGTTAAGCTTGTGTACTTTTCATATAGGGTAAAGGTAAGATTATTGATGTATTGTGGATCTGGTTGGTTGTAATATTAGCGTGTTTATAATTTAAATTGTACCATTTTGGGGTTTAAGTTATATTTGTCCAGTTGGAGGACTTGGTAGTTTTGGCAAGGCATTGGGGGACTAACTTTCTGCTGAGGGACTTGGTTTTTTGAGGGACTCTCGGTGACTTTTTCAAGTTAAAATCCAGTGACTGTAATTTTTCCAGTACTAAATACTGTAATGTTGTTAATATTGTAATGAGTCTCTAGTGACTTTGGTATTAATTGTCCTTGGAACTTTAAGAGTTAGATAACGTACTATAACTTTATTAAATCAACTTTGATGCACTTCAACTGCCGTTAAGTGTTAAAGTGTTGCTAAGTTTTATGGAGACTAAGCTCGTGACAAGTTAATAAGCTTTACAGCATCTTGGTAAATCAATGTACCAATGCTGCCGAGTTTGGTGTAGCTTCAACTTGACCTGTTAAACTGGTCAACATCCAGCTTCAGTGAAGAGTGTCAGGGCTATCAACTTGATTGATTGACTTGTTGTGATTGACTTGAGGCTAGCAGCGTCCATTGTTGAGATGGGGGGGGGGAGTGTTTACCACGACCATTGCATGGGGGTCAGGAGAGGGAGAGGAATGATAAACACTACTATAATATAATTTATTTTCCCTCTCAGCATTGCCCCATTTCAAACCTAGAAGAAAATCAAAAAACTTCTGGGGCCAGATTCACGAAAGCACTTACGCAAGCACTTACGAACCTGTACATCTTTCCTCAATCTTTGACGGCTTTGGTTACATTTATTAAACAGTTTACAAGCATGAAAACTTGCCAATCAACTGTTGTTATTGTTATAAACAGCCTCCTGGTGCTTCGGAGCTCATTAACTGTTTAATAATTGTAAACAAAGCCGCCAAAGATTGAGAAAAGATGTACAGGTTCGTAGGTAAGTGCTTTCGTGAATCTGGACCTCTTAATCGCCCTCCTGTGTGCAACTACCCTACTGACTGTCTTAACAACCCCCACCCCCCATTCCCATGACCATCTTCATCCCATTGTGTATACACAGGACCGACCCCGGACTGGATCGTGGGCGTGTCGGCGCTGGAGCTCTGCTTGAGAAACTGCTCGTGGGTAGACCAGAAGACCCTGAACCTCTACCCGTGGGACGCCGGGACAGACTCTGGCATCACGTACGAGGTGGGTTATCTTTGATATCTTGAGATGATTTCGGGGCTTTTAGTGTCCCCGCGAAGCAGCCCGTGACAGCTGACTAACTCCCAGGTACCTATTTACTGCTAGGTAACAGGGGCATTCAGAGTGAAAGAAACTTTTGCCCATTTGTTTCTGCCTTGTGCGGGAATCGAACCCGCGCCACAGAATTACGAATCCTGCGCGCTATCCACTAGGCTACGAGGCCCCCATTAAGGTGGTGAGAGGATGAAGATAGAAACAATAATAGTTCAGACTAAAAATTGAGGACGTGGGAAAATAATGGGAAGAAAAATCCCAACACTAAGAGAATGGAAGGAATAAAAATGTCTATCTCATTTCTCTTCCCAGAAAATGTCTTCTCCTCTGAGATGAGAGACGAGTTGGTCATCTGTCTCTGTTTCTGTCTCTGTTTCTGTCTCTCTGTCTCTCTCTCAACTAATGCGACATCTGGCTGCGAAATGACAGCCATGAGACAAATTAGGGCCAAGATTGGACCGCAAGATGAGGATGAGAGTGTGAGGGGGAGAGAGTGTGAGGGGGAGAGAGTGTGAGGGGGAGAGAGTGTGAGGGGGAGAGAGTGTGAGGGGGAGAGAGTGGGAGGGGGAGAGAGTGGGAGGGGGAGAGAGAGTGGGAGGGGGGAGAGAGTGGGAGGGGGAGAGAGTGGGAGGGAAGGACAGATAGGCCTATAGAAAGCCAGATCGAAAGAGGCGTACACACACACACACACAGGGTTAAGAGACCGGATGATTGTGATACAACCAGATGTATTAGGTTAATACTGTTATAATTACCATATCTGACTTATTAGAAATCTTGGAGATAAAATATTAAATACATAAATGTATGCAATAAAGCAAAAGATTCAGGGGATGTATTTCAAGAATATTATTTCACAACGAGACGCCTAATACGCGGATATGTATATGTATATGTATGTATGTAATATGTATGAATCGGTTTGGGTGGATGTAAATAGATGCTGCTTCATAGGGCCAAATAGACAGTCTGCAGGTGGCCTTAGTCTCTTGTCCTGTTCCACGATAGACAGACAGACACACGCAGACATTCAGACATGTATATTAAAACACAGGGAACGAGAACCCAGATCTGGAACACAAGAATATTTAAAACATTTACCAAAAAAAAATGTAACATTTCTCTTGTCTAACTTCAGCCTTAACTATTAACTAGGTTAACAACGCTAACAAGTTAAAACTCCTCCACCCTTACTAAGGGTGGAAACAGACCCCCCCCCCTAACCCCCCAAAAAATAATTTTTTACCTAAGCAAAAAAATAGTCCTAGTGTGGACGTTAACTTTATTTACGTTCAAACTAGGGGAATTTATCTTCCTAGGGAGACTTCCTTCAGTTAGACGCAATTTCTCGTGTTATCCCTATCTAACTACCCAACCTAACTACCTCGCCCTTATCTAACTACCCTCCATTTCTTCCTGGCATGACGCTCCGCCGTACCCACAGTCGGCCAACGCCCCGACCATCCCCAGAGAGAAGATCCGTCGCATCACCAACAGCTTCCCTAACGACCCCAAATCTCCCTTCTACGACCCAACTGGTCTGCCCATGAAGCCCCTGGCCAGGCTCTCTATCACCAGACAGCGGGTCTACGAGAAGTCCTGCTCCGAGAATGGTATGTTGTTGTTTTAAGATTCGCTACTTGGAACAAAAAGTTTCAAGTAGCACGGGCTATGGTGAGCCCGTTTAATTGTGGGTGTAGCTGCCTCTTGACGTACCTGTGCTTGTAGAGAACTTGAGCTCTAGCTCCTGGGCTGCCCCTCCTCGTCGCTTTTATTAGAAATGATTCAATCTTCTGATGGTATATGAAATCGATTCGGCTTCCACTCTCTCTATCCCACTGGTTCATGTTTCACATAATAAGTTGTTCTTTGTGTTCTAACTTAACGTTTAGTGTTCACCTGTGTTGCCTTGTTCTCGTCCAACCACTTGAGGTGGACGGTAGAGCGACGGTCTCGCTTCATGCAGGTCGGCGTTCAATCCCCCGACCGTCCACAAGTGGTTGGGCACCATTCCTTCCCTCCCGTCTCAAATCCTTATCCTGACCCCTTCCCAGTGCTGTATAGTCATAATGGCTTGGCGCTTTCCCCCTGATAGTTCCCTTTCACCCTAGGGAGGGGGGGGGGGGGGTACACCATGACACATCACCTCCACCCTGGGGGGGTACACACCCTGACACGTCACCCTGGGGTACACATACCTCTGCCACAATGCCCATGTCACTATCATTATTCACTGAACAAGATTGCAAAACTTCATCAGGAACTGCCAGAGGTGTTCGGCCACACTCCCGCTCACTCGCTAAGGGTAAGTAGACTCTTGGTGTAGAATGTTGGTGTAGTGGGGTAACTTGGGGTCTCTACACCTCCCTCTCTCCTCATTACGGGCTCACCATAGCCCGTGCTACTTGGAACTTCTTGTTCCAGGTAGCGAATCTTTAACATGTTCAGTGCCTTGTCTCTTCCTGTGTTATAATTTTATATGGATACGATATTTTCTGTTTATCGGCTGTTTTATAGATCTTATCGATGTGTTTTAAGATTGATAGTGACTTTTGCAGCTTTCTTGACTACTCTTGGAGATACTGGGTTAGACGAAGGTACTTTAGTATGCCTCAAGCTGCTCTTCCAGGCGTGTCCTCGCCTCGTCTGCTGACACTTCTGTTGTTCTCTTTCTCCTTTGGTTCTGTCATCAAACATCCGGAAGCTAAGATTTTTATATAAAAAAAATACTCAAATTTTTCATTGTCTGGCATTTTTGTCATTTTAATAATTTGCTATTAGTTCTCTATCTTCACTAGGTCATTCAAAAGCATATTTTTTCATTGTAAATCTGCATATTAGTTTTTTTTTTACCCTTTTAACTCTTGCATATTATTTTATTTCTCTTCAGTTTGATCTTGTGTAATGCTCTCTCTCTCTCTCTCTCTCTCTCTCTCTCTCTCTCTCTCTCTCTCTCTCTCTCTCTTTCTTTCTTCTTCTCTTTCTTCTTCTTCTTCTCCACCCTGGCAAGGTCTCTCTTCTCACTCCGAATCTCTCCATCTTACAGTGGTGTTTCTTCTTTATCTAGTGGAAGAACTCTCCAGGCTCGCGTGCCTAGTTCTCCACTTGATCATTGATCGTATCTGGGATATTGTGTTGAAGTCCCCCATTCCCCCTCCCTGTACGATAGCATATTTTCAAACGGTCAGAAAATATGCTATCTTCTCGCTCTTGTCTTCAATGATTTTAGTACCTCGGGGATAGAGCTCTGTCACGTTGGTGAGGCAGTTGTCATCCATGAACGCTTGTTGGGGTCGTACTTTGGTTCTTCTGTGTGTTTCTAACATTGTCTTGTAAACTATCCCAAATAGGCAACATTGTTCAGTAGTTTAACACCTCCTTTCAGTTGTCTAGATTTTTGTGTATATTGGTGCTTGATTGGCTGTCTTTCAGGTGTTCCTGATTCCAGTGACTTGTTAGATATTAATTCGTCAGCACAAAGCTTTCTTTGTTGTTCTTGGAAGCCACGTAGAGTGCTTGTACGGTTACCTTACCTTGAGGTTACCTTGAGGTGCTTCCGGGGCTTAGCGTCCCCGCGGCCCGGTCCTCGACCAGGCCTCCTGGTTGCCGGACTGAGCAACCAGGCTGTTGGACGCGACATAAGTCACAGCCTGGTTGATCAGGTCCTTGAAGGCACGGTGAACAAGACCCTTCACGTGCCTTCAGTAACTGCCCATACACACAAGATTGCTGAAGTTAATTTTCCGAGGCTTACTTGACCTCTCGCTTACTATCCCCTCCATTCCGTCTATCCTTCTCTATGCTAGCTCCCTTTTCCCCGTTCGCTCTGTCTCTCTCTCTGTCCACCCTGACCGTCAATTGTTTCGTGCTACAGGCGTCATGGTTATGATTTGAGTGAGTAATTATTTCCTGATGTGTCGACAGGTTTGCTGACACCGGACGAACCCGAACTCAACTACTCCTACGACGAGGACTCCGACAGACGTGAGTACTGATGTGTGTGTCGCAGTAGTTACTGACGCCCTTAGTGTCCCCGCCAACCGTGGTGTTGGGCACTGGTGGAGGAGTATTGGCCTAGTTGTTCTTGCGGGGGTTGAGCTCTGCTCTTTCAGCCCCTCTCTCAACTGGCATTCAACCGTTTGACTTTTTATCCTCACACGGACACACACACACACACTGTTTGTGGTTGACAGATGGAATGCATTAGGCAGTGATGTGGTGGAGGCTGACTCCATACACAGTTTAAAGTGTAGATATGATAGAGCCCAATAGGCTCAGGAACCTGTACACCAGTTGATTGACGGTTGAGATCTAAAGCTCAACCCTCCCAAGCACAACTAGGTGAGTATACACACACACACCAGGAAGCAGCCCGTGACAGCTGACTAACTCCCAGGTACCTATTTACTGCTAGGTAACAGGGGGGCATAGGGTGAAAGAAACTCTGCCCATCGTTTCTCGCCGGCGCCCGGGATCGAATCCGGGACCACAGGATCACCTGTCCGGCGTGCTGCCCGCTCGTTCTCATGTGAGGGTTCTTGTAAGTCAGTCTCACTCGCTCTCACTCTCACGCATATGCAAACAAAATTAAAAATTCTCAATTCTATTTATATAATAAAGGCAATTCACCTGTTAATGTTTCGTTCAGCGACGCGGGCTTCTGCTTCCCATCTTGCTGGATGTTTATATAACTTGCTCACATTGCTGCACCTTACTGCATTCGGACATTGTGTTCTCTCGCATCTAAAATTAGCCGCCTCAATTTCGCTCACGTATCCGAACAATTGATATTACATTTCACGGGTATTAAACCTAAGCCTCACCCGTGCGTTCGGTGACAGGATATTAGTTTACGAATATTAAGTGTTGGCCTTGACTTCGGCTTAAGACTTGAGAATCTGTGACTGTTTATAGCCGTCCTAGGCTATAAACATTTACGAAGATGTTAATATATCAATATTTTGACTTTTACAGCATACAACTGATGGCATAAAACTAAAAAAAAATTTAATATAACTGTATTATGTATAGTAGATTCTGAATTTTGATCCAGGTAGATTTAGGTAAGGTGTTGCATCATGTTAATGTTGGACGAGTAACATTACCAGTAACTTCAACATATTGAGTTGGACTCTTGGTAAAATACTTAATAGGTTATTAGTGGTCTTATTAGTTATGAACTTCGGTCTTTTTTTTTTATTAATGGGCTGGATAACATTTGTGTTACTGAAGCCGAAGCCTCGCTAGTGCACTCGGACGATTTGTAGTCAGTGTTTCGATAGAAATGAGATCCTGTGTAAATCTGTTTCCGTAGTGTATCTGAGAGACCGAGAGAGAGAGAGAGAGAGAGAGAGAGAGACCCCTGGAATGAAAAAGGAGAAGTGGAGGAACGAGAGAATGTAAAGAAGGAACTGGAGAAAGGTAGGAATGGAGCTAAACAATTCGCGTCATAAATAAATTATAAATGCATCTTCACCTAGTAGCAGAAAACATCAAATCAAATCAAAGCAAATGTTTATTTAGGTAAGGTACATACATACAAGAGATTTTACAAAGAGTGATGGATTTATAGATAGGGCTAGTACATACAATGCCTAAAGCCACTATTACGCAAAGCGTTTCGGGCATGAAAAATTTAAACTTAAATAAAAAACATCTATGACAAGCAAGGTGTCAAGGGGCGTGAACTATCACATTGTTGCGTAAAATGACTTGATTGTTACGACGAGCGTCACTAAATAAAACCGCCACGCTAGCAAAATGCAAGCCTAATGATTTTAATTGCAAAGAAAATAAGAATCGTAGCGACAGGGAAAGTCACTCTCGTGTCCTGGACAAAAACAATGACCTCAAGAGGGAAACATTGGAAGAATTGGATTTCTTTTAAGACTTTTGAAAAGCCTTCCAGAATCTAATTTTAATTTTGAACAAGTCTATAGTAAAAACCCCATGGGGGGTGAGGTTTCTGTGGATATACGTAAATATGTGCTCATTGTGATGTTAATAAAGAGATGACACGCTCTATAGTAGCTGCTGGAACCAGAAGAGTTAAGCTCTGTCTCTGTCTCTCTCACCCAACCACTTGGGCTGGACGGTAGAGCGACGGTCTCGCGTCATGCAGGTCGGCGTTCAATCCCCCGACCAAGTGGTTGGGCACCATTCCTTCCCCCGTCCCATCCCAAATCCTTATCCTGACCCCTTCCAAGTGCTATGTAGTCGTAATTGCTTGGCGCTCTCTTCCCCCCCCCCTTCCCCGATAACCCTCCCCCTATAACCCTCCCCCTCTTTCTGTCTGTGTGTGTACTCGCCTAGTTGTACTTGCGGGGGTAGAACTTCGACTCGTTGTTATAGATTCAGCTACTGAGAACATGAAGTTCCAGTAGCACGGGCTATGGTGAGCCCGTGAGCTTAGACTCGTTGGTCACGCCTCTTAACTGTCAATCAACTGGTGTACAGGTTCCTAAGTGGTTTTGCTGTCATGTCTACATATGGAAATGTGTATGGAGTCTGCCGCCACCACATCCCTTCCTAGTATATTCCATTTGGTTAACTGCTCTGATACTGAAAAGATTTTTGTCTAATGTCTTTGGCTCATTTAACTACTCGGTTTCGACCTGTCCCCTTGTGCAAGTATCACCCGTGTTAAACGGTATTTAATCGCCTAGTTGTGCTTGCGGGGGTTGAGCTTGGGTTCTTTGGTCCCGCCTAGTATGTCCTTAGATCAGTATGTATGACAATATCTCGCAGAGCTCTTCTGTCTCTCAATGACGTGAGGTGCAATTCACATAAGTCTATGTGCAGATTCTCGTACCTCTTCGTAAGGGTACGAGAAGAGGTACGTCAAATAATCCACTGTAAAGACAGGGATATAGTTTAGCTTCTCATCACTGCCCGAAACTAAACTCGTACCTCGTACCTCTTCGTTCTGGGACTAGTCTAGTCCCTTGAACCTTCTCCAGTTTATAGTTTGTGCTTAATTAAATGCGTAATACACGGAGGAGCTGCATACGCCAGGATTGATATGACATGTGTGGTAATCAAGGTTCTAAATGATTCCTTTACACAAGTTTCTTAATGCAGTTCTTTTGTTGGCCAACCTAGCATATGCCGCTGATATCCTCTTAGATGTGGCTTAGTGATGTCAACCATCAGATCTTTCCCCCAGATTCTTGAATTTAATCTCCCAAATGGTGCCATGTATCTGGCCTCCTGCTCCCTACAGTTCGTTATTTTACACTTGTTCGTGTGCGCATCCGTCCGTCCAGGCAGGAGAATGCGTCATGGGTAACCTATTGTGGGCGGTTTACACCAGTGGTCACATCAACTAGTATGGCTTTGTTGCCTATCCGTTAAATCCGGTTTACACCAGTGGTCACATCAATTAGTATGGCTTTGTTGCCTATCAGTTAAATGCCGTTTGCATAGGCAGCGTTAACTGCGATCTTCATCCTAATGTTGTATCTTGTGGAGACATTCCTACGTTCCTGTCTGACAGGCAATGATGAGAAGCTAAACTATATCCCTGTCTTTACAGTGGATTATTTGACTTTATCGGGGATGAGTATAGGTAGGTTAGTGCCTTTGACTTGAATAATGAGTTCTAAACTGAATTTGGGTATGTACGAGCCATTATCTTTCTTTTATAGAAACATAATGCTGTATTCATCAGAGCTTCTGCACACTTGGAAGATTCGGCCTCACGACATGTACCAAACAACTTCTGTCCCATTTTTCCTACACACTCATCAACCCTGTGCAGACGAGGAGTCGCAATAACGTGGCTGAAATATGTTGATCAAACTACACACTAGAAAGTGAAGAGACGGCGACGTTTTGGTCCGTCCTGGATCATTCTCTAGTAGATTTTTTTTAGTCTTTACTTTACTTTATACAGTCTCCGTGGTGTAGTGGTAAGACACTCGCCTGGCGTTCCGCGAGCGCTATGTCATGGGTTCGTATCCTGGCCGGGGAGGATTTACTGGGCGCAATTCCTTAACTGTAGCCTCTGTTTAACGCAACAGTAAAATGTGTACCTGGTTGTAACAACGATTCTTCGCGGCAGGGGATCGTATTCCAGGGACCTGCCCGAAACGCTACGCGTTCTAGTGGCTGTACAAGAATGTAACAACTCTTGTATATATCTCAAAAAAAAAAAAAAAAAAAAAAATTGTGGTCTAGAGAATGGTCCAGGACGGACCGAAACGTCGTCGTTCCTTCACTTTCTAGTGTGTGGTTTGGTCCTCATAAACTCTTGATTGCCTCCACCACTCGGCTCACTCCTACAACAGCATAGTCACCCCTCTTCCTTCTCCACAGCCGAGTGTCAAGTCAGCCAATGGACGGAATTCACAGCGTGTTCAGCAACCTGTGGAAAGGGGCTCCGAAAGAGGAACCGCAATTACCTCATGCCCCTCAAGGCACAGATGAGCATGTGCAAAAGGCAGTTAGAAGAGAAGGAGATGTGTGCCGCTTCCGTACCCTTCTGCGATGGCGGAAGTGAGACGAGCATCTTCGGCGGAGCAAACTACGTGAGTTAACCTTTAAATTTGACACAAGCAGGTTAGTTTTCTGTAATTCCACAGACCCCTGTGTCTTTAATCAAAGATGGGTTGACAATACCGAACAACCCGTTCTCGCACTTGCTTATAGTCAATCTCTTGCTAATGAATAAGCGCATATGTGACATACTAATTTATTGTGAATATTTGAGTTTACCTTGAAATGCTAAATAGAAAACCACAACCTAACCTAACCCTCTTAGTATGTTAAGATATTAAAATTAGTACTGAACCTATACCTATATTGATATTACAGTTTTATAAAAATAATAAAACAAAACTAAAATATTTAAATTGTAAAGTAACTCTGGATATTGTCAAATTTTGTATAAAATCTCTATTGTTTAATAAAACTGAGAGGAAAAGTTAGTGCCTTGAAAAAAAATATGGATTGGAATGTTACATATACTTAGTCACTATTTCACTTATAAATAAGCAATAAGTCTTATATATGCTGTCTTGTGCGAGAGCGGGTTGCACATGACATTCCAATGGGGTAGTCTTATTTTTCACTTTGTATAACGTTATTTATTGATTCATTTCATTTTTGCTCACAACAGCAATTTTATTGAATTGAAAACTGTTAAGAATTTTGTTTTTATTACCTAGGGACTGACTGTGTAATCAACTACCATATGCAACAATTTGTTTGATCACATCAAATTATCAAACCTTATTGGCATAATGAATCGCATTCATTTCAAGTTGAATGAATGAATGTGCAAGGCTTGCATTCACTGAGAAGTGTATCCTGTTTATTTTTCACTTGAAGTTACAGGACTTTTGACTTGTACGATTATGTTACGTTGTTGGGTAGATTAGATACAGTGTTTAGTGAGTTTCATATTTATTTAGTAGTCCTGGATACAGCAGTGTCGTAGACGTTGAGACGGAGCTTGGAGCAGAGCAGAGAGTTGAGTGTGGCCGGAGTAGTGGAGCTCTATGTGGGAGAGCAGTGTAGCTGGATGAGGTCCTAGTCTGCTGCCTGCTCTGTGTCGAAGCTGTAGCATCTTGGAGACGATTAGAGCTACCTACGCTGAGTACTACATTCTTGACTGGAAATTGTACAGTTACTGTATCTATTTTGTTATAGATTCAGCTACTCGGAACAAGTTCCAAGTAGCACGGGCTATGGTGAGCCTGTAACTTACCTGTAAATAGGGACAGGATTATAGCTTGTGTAGTTAGTGCAAATTAGTTATGCCATTAAGATAATGAGACTGTAGTGAGTATAATGTTTGTACTTGCTACAGACTACAACAACAGGCTTAGAGATTTTCCGCCTCCCCCTTGACATTTTACCCCAGTAGTTCTTCCCCAAGGACACGACCCTCAGTCTATTTACAACCAGGTCCCCCTACTGTTGGGTAGACAGGCAGGAACAGTTGATGGGTGATGCCCTGTTGACCTTACCTGCTTAGGGCTCATATGTCACTTCTGTGTATATAGTTTAGTGTGCGTATGCATATATATTATATATACTCTGAGTTTACCTAAGTTTTCTGTACTTACTTACTGGCTGGTCAATAAACTATTAAGTTGGATCTATTAATCCAACAAACTTTGTAAAATCTCTTTATGTATGTACCTTACCTAAATAAACTAATTTATTTATTTATTTATTTATTTATTTATATATTATTTAACTATAATGATGGCCTTAATACCTCCTACCCCCCCCCCACTCCCCACAATTGAACTTCAGCCCAACACAAAACCAATGAATTAAAGTCCAGCATTCCAATCTTCCAACCTCCCATTCCTCAATGCTTTCAATCCTTGCAATGGCCAACAATCCCTCTGATCCGCCAGTTCCCGGAGTTCGACGAGCGGGTATGCGCGACCTCGGAGTGGTCGCCGTGGACCGAGTGCTCAGAGACCTGCGGCAAGGGTCACCGCATGCGCAACAGGCGCTATCTGGACCGCATGGGCCGCAAGAAGTGCGACAAGGAGCTGGTGGAGAAGCAGATGTGCGTCGCTGACACGCCAGTGTGTGATGGTCTGCAGGAGGTGGTAAGCAGAGATAAATCTGTGTGTGTTGACGATGCAGAGTTCCAAAAGTCCGTATGTGACTACATATGTGTGTCTGTTGAAGGTGTTATGTTATGAAAGTCCATCTGTGACTGCATGTGCATCTCTGTTGATTGCATTGTATTTTCTTTTCTTTTTTTGTCACTGCATGTGTTTCTGTTGAATGATAAGTTGTGGTAAGATCTATTGTAACCTTATGTCTGCCTGCTGATGTTTTCTTCATGCACATTAAAGCTGAGCTTTTGTGCATACCACACTTGCATGAGCAAATCCACAAGGGCTGTGACGAAGATTCGAACCTACGTCTGAGAGCATCCCAGACGCTTCCCATCCCACACTTGCGTATCCATCATGCATACCTAGGAGTCTTTATCTTGTGTTAAGTTTTTCAGGCAATCAAATTTAGAAATTTAGTGTCTTGTTCTTTCTCTCGTCCTTGCATGATGAACTGACAGCTTACTCCTTGGCCACAGATTCGGGCGGAATGCGCCGTGACAGAGTGGACAGACTTTTCGCCGTGTTCCGTGACATGTGGACAAGGAGTGATGATGAGGACACGGTCCTTCTTGGTGCCCGCTGCCGCCCAAGCTCACTGTTCCGTCTCCACCATCGACAAGAAACCGTGTACGGGAGAGAGACACGACTGTTCCATTGATCCATCTGAGGCTGAAGGTGGGTATTGGGGGAATGGGATGGGACAGAAGAGACAGGTGTGATCGGGGAATGGATGACGGTACTTTGGAGCACCTACGCATTCAAGACATTAACCTTCAGTGGGTTACACAATATCATACTTAGGACAGGGTGGGGTAAAGCGTTGAGGAGCAATGTAATAGGGACGGGGAGGGGGGGGGGGTTAAGGGCAGAAGAGTTTTCAGAGTATTATTACCGATATAAGTGTATAGAAAAGAAATGAGAAAAGTGAGGGAACAGGAATTGAGAGATAATGGGATGGGGAGGTAGGGAGGAGAGGGAGAGAGACATTCAAGGGCAATTTGGGTTGTTGAATTGTGGAACCAATTACTGCGTAATGTGGAGGTGGGGTCCCTTGATTGTTTCAAGCGCGGGTTGGACTTGTATATGAGTGGGATTGGGTGGTTATAAATAGGAGCTGCCTCGTATGGGGCCAATAGGCCTTCTGCAGTTACAGTACCTTTTATTCTTATGACAGTGTGTTCAGACAATGAGAACAGATGTGAGGTAGCTGTGATGATGATTATGGAAGGAAAAGAGAAGGCAGAAAGAGAAGAGATCTGGGGATCAAATAAATGGAGAGAATATAATAGATATGTTGTGGGTGTACGTGTGATGGGCAAAGAAAGGAACGGTAGGTACAGTACACTGAAAATGAAAGGGCAGTAGAGAGAGAAAAAGAAAGATAAAGATGGATACATTAGGAAAAAGAGGGATATAGAGAAGAGAGCAGTTGTATTAATCAAAAATCTAAAATTACAAATGTCATTTCCACTCTTAAGATATATATATAGATAGATACATGGATATAATTATAATCTAGTTAAAATTGGTAAGTTTGCTATGTAAATATTAAGTAGTTTTCCCAGAATTGTGTTTAGCCATGTTTGTGTCTTTCATCAAATTCTTGTCTGTTTTCAGTGGTTCTCCTGTTATGTTTTGCATTTCACTTAAGACTATACACATCTGCTGTGGTCAGTGTTTGTCTGTGAATATTTAGAGACCTTAAAATTCAACTTGGTGTGTGTGTTCTTACTAATAAGTGTATTAGTGTAATGTACATATAGTGTAATTTGCTGTTTAGCTAATCTAAAATACCATTTGACCACCCAGTAAGTAAAGAAGATAAGTTGCATATTATCTTGGAAGTTGTGTACATATCATTTCAGTGTCACTAGCCAACCTGTTTACTTTCCATGGACTTTCTTCCGTATCTCTTCTGCCTCTTCATGCCAAATTGTCACCCCTCTCTTGTGTCTTCTGCTTCTTCATTCCATATCCTCACTTATCCCCCCCAACCTCTCATGTCAAAAGATGGCCCTCTGGGTAAATATTGCACCTCTGTCTCTCCAGCCTGTCCTCACTATTTGCCAAGCATTGGCCTAGGCAACAACCCAGCCAACCTGCTGTGAATGTTGCAGTGTAATTTTAACATGAAAATTGCTGAGGGCAGGATGGATTCCTCTCCTGGTATCAACTTGATCTGCTTGTTTTACTTTACAAACTCCATCTTTGAGCCTTCTCTGCCCTCTGCCTATCGAGTTGGTGTTCATCTGTGAATCTCGTGTCTCTCGTGCCTGATTTCTAATCGTGTCTTGTATTCCAAACTTTGATCTTGTAACAATCTAACATCTTTATCTTAACATCAATTCACCCTCTTTAGGCATTCCTTCTTTCCCTTAACAAAAGTATTTTCAAACTACCTCCACCTCTCTTTTTAACCTGACCTTTAAATAGTTCCTACCTTTTAACTAAGTCTATAGAAACATTGTCTATTATCAAACAGTTTCATTCGCCCGACTATTTAGAACTTATTGTAACCCATTTGTAAGCACCAACCATATTTACATCCACTCATCTGTGAGCTTATTGAATGCATTATTCCTCTTCTAACACCTGTCACTATCCCATATCGTATGGGTCATTGGAACTCTGTTCCTCTTCTAACACCTCTCTCTGCCTGTTGTACTCATTTATGAGCCAACTGAACCCTTCTCGTCCTCTCAGTCGACTGCCATACCTTCCGCCGGCTGAACCTGAACTTCCATGACCAAATGCAATTTGAGTACTGGTGTTACCTGGGCAAGGAGAAGAAGACACGAAACATTCACTCTCAAGGAAAGTTTATTGACCATGCAGGGTAGCAAGAAGGTAGATGAGAATAATAGAGCTCAGAGGAACTCAAAGAATAAAAAGGGTTCCCCCCAGCCTCCTGTGATGGCTTGATGCACGTTTGTCGGGTTACTTCTTATCAAAGATGTTTGTGAATGCTGTGTTTTGGTAGTGAGCTGTTGTGTTCATTTTACTATTTAAGCAATCCATTTATGTATTTAACATATATAAAGTTTTTTTTTTGTTATTCGTCATTCATTCTGAATGAATGCTTTGAGATGCATTTTATTGTTCTTTAAGGTTTTTATGTGCCCGACTAGTTTTCTTGTGCATACGTGTGTGTCAAGAACTCGCTGCAATTTATCAGCATCTTGCATTCAAGTATTGTTTGGACAACAGGTTTATTTTCTGCAAGTAAACATTGTATACATGGCTTTCATTCTTTGAGCTTTTAAGTGTTTGCATCGTTTTCTTACTTCAGTCATTGATGTGCTTTATCATCCTCATGAATATTTTCAGTATTGTTCCATTCTTGGTGGATTTCATGATATTATGAAGGAATTTTAAGTGTACAGAGCTCTTTCTAATTGTTTTGTGGGTGTTTTTCATTATAGTTTGTGTTTATCTTCATTATCTCTCTGTAATATATAATTTGTAATATATAGTTATTCTTATTTATGGTTAAAATTGTCTTTTACCTATTGGCATGATACAAGGGATGCAAATATGATACAGGGGATTATCACCAGGCTGACATGATATAGGGAATGTGTGTGTTTCTATACTCGCCTACATACGTTTTGCTGGGGTTAAGCACCTGCCTTTCAATGCAGTGTCAATTTTCTTTCCAAGTGTGTTATATATTTCTTTGGGTAGGTTCCATGCTGGGGCAGCATACTGGGAACCTGATGTTTGCCAGAATGGCCTATCGCTGCCATCATTCTTCTTCATTGTGTGCCTCTTCCTTTCATCCTGTACTGTTTCAGGTCTTCTTGTACTTATTCCAATCTTCATAACCTTGCATTTGCTAGCATTAAATACTAGTCATTTTTCAGACCATCTCTCAGGATTGTTAAGTTCATTATGTAAAGTTTTGCAGTCCTCCTCAATTCTGATTTCACAGCATTAGTTTAGTATCATCAGCAAACATAGATAAGAACGAGCTTGCTTCTTCTCTTGGATCATTTACATGCATTAGGAACAGGATGGGCCCTAGGACCAACCCTTGAGATACTCATTATCTCTCTCCAGTCCGATTGCTCTCCTCTTACTATGACTGTTCCTCTTTCTGAAAGATACTCTTCCCAATACACCAGCCTGTTATTCTAGTTAGCATAGGAGTCTCTTGTGAGGTCAGTCAGAAGCTTTCTGGCAATCTAGGAAAATACAGGCCATATATATATATATATATATATATATATATATATATAATATATATATATATATATATATGTATGTATATATATATATATATATGTATATATATATAATATGCATGCATGCATGCAAAAGCATGGAGTCAAGGGAAATCATGCTTGACTAATTCAGTTCTAAGGCAAGTTGACAAATGAGATAGAATTATCTCTCTCGCTCTCTCTCGCTTGCGCGTGCCTTAAAACCAAGTTAGTCAAGCATGATGTCCTTTCGACTCCAAGCTGTTTGCATGGAAGCAAAATTTGTGTTCTAAATCTTCCACGACCCTTTTTAATCGCTCAAATATCTTGTAGGGAATATTTGTTAGTGATGCCAGTCTTTAGTTCAGTGAATCCAGTCTTCCTTCTTTCTTGAAATCATTACTGAATGATCGGGGAAACTTTTTATCTTTGAGGTCAAGTAGATGATAGATGTTAAGAGTGAGAGGAGGAGGGATAAAGAAGAGTATGAAAAGAGAAAAGACAGAGAAAGCTAAATAGGGAAAAAAAGAATGTACTTAATGTTTTAAGATTCTTAAAATTATGTAAAACAGACGGTTCCATAACAACTGACACCAGAATTGATGTTGACGATAATGGTGATGACGGTGATGATTAGTATTAGTGATGATCACAACTAGCAAAAATCATATAAATAAAACTAACTTCACCATTGGTATTATATCTATTGGAGTACTGTGGTACTCCAATACCAGTACAGTACCGTGGTAGCCAGCAAGGGTGATCTTTGGCCTCACAAGTTCAAATCCTGTTGAGATCATAGAACTTATAATGATTAACATCATGAACTATTCAAGCTTTGTTTCATATTTTATACATGTATACAGAATATAATGTGTAATGTGTACACTAGAAAACCCATAATGAACTAAAAGATTTTTGTCTGTTTTTGAAATATAGATTGTCATACCTTCCCTGCTCCCTCCTCCACTCTTACTCCTGTCACGCACTCCCTCACAGCTTTAACTCATGGTAGTCGGGCCCCCTGGACAACATAGGCAGTCCAGAATTCCTTGCCATTAACCCCACCTCTTGCCACCCTGTTCTATACCTGACCTTGCTGAAGCTATTGATGTGAGATGCTGTTTGGTCGCAATAAGATAGAATCAAAATACATGAAACTACATTTACATAATGCTACATAAAATAATTTAGCAAATGTGCTTGGCAGTAACTAGCTCCTTAGTGTAGAAATTATTTAGTTGAATAGATTTAGCTTAACTACTGTTCTGTTTGCAAATATAACATGTGTAGTTAATATATTTTTGATGAAGTGTGAAAGATGGACACTGAATGTTCTATATAAATGTTATATGTGGCTGGAGGCACATGCCGCTATTTGCCAACAAGATGGATTTCGTGGCACTTATTTATTAGTTTTAGGTTAATTATTCTTTGGTCGATATTATCATATTTTCAGCTGCTCAGACATGCACAACTGCACCACTTCTGGTGCAGTTGTAGTGACCTTTAGCCCTGGAGAAGAGAATATTCAGAGAACACTTTGTGGATTCTCCCTGAACACTTGTGTACAGTATTTTCTTTGCCTACCTACCTTTTTTTTTTAAATATATATATATATATATAAAATTTATTTATTTGATTAATTTATTACATTGTCTTAGTTTACAGAAAATGCACACATACTGTACAGCAATAACTGTTCAAAGACCTAATCCAACTCTTCGGAGGTAGTGTGTGTGTGTTTCTGTGGGTGTGTGTATTTATATGTGCAAATATGTATGCACAAATGAATGTGTGTGTATGTATAACTGTATTGAAGCAGTAACTGCCTGAGAATGCCAGTAGGAGTGCCAGGTAGTGCACCAACTTGACTGATAGCTTCCCCTCCACCACAGAGGTGTGTACGCAAGAGAAAGTGTTGGGGCCGTGCAGAGGGTATTTCCCACGCTGGTACTTCGACACCCAGCGACAGATGTGTATGCAGTTCACCTACGGCGGGTGTAGGGGCAACAGGAACAACTTTGAGAAGTACGACGAGTGCACAAGGATGTGCGAGTTCCATAAACGTGAGTTGACCATGTCCTGGGCTGTGTTGCACATCTTCTTGCTTAGATTACATTCTTTTACTGCTACCCGTTATATTTTTATCATTATACAAAATATATGTAGCATATGGCTATCCTACTTGTCTGCCTGTTACATTATAGTTAATTAAGCTTGGTATAATCTCACTGAAAATACACAGGTCTGTTAAATTGATTATTAAGGGAGAGTGGTATATAAAAAAAAAATTGCTTTTAAGTACAGTATTTCCTAATTATACTTGACTCAATTTTTTATAATCCCCTTATTTACCAGCTTCCTAAATTTGTAATCGCCTTATTTCACAATTAGATGACTAATGTTGCTCTGTCTCGCCTCTGCAGCATCCACGAATGACAGGGAGCAGCCTCTGGAGGTCCTTCCCCCTAACTCTCCCTCACAGTAAGTAAATAATTTCACTCAGTCGAGCATGTGGGAACATCAGGAACCCCTAACTTCCAATTACAAGGAATCTCGCCTTCTTGCTGAGGATGTTAGTAGCAGTGCAGGAAGCACTGCTACTAACGTCTAATTTTTTTTTTTTCTCCTGCGAGTTCCGAACTTGGATTATGAATTATCTGGTATTTGTAAAGGGCTTCTTATGTCCTCTCTCCTGAAATATTAATTAATCAGTTATCAGTATATCTCAGAGATAGATGGAAAACTGACAGGTTGGATAAAAAGAACTTTTCAAACTAGAGATGCTATACCAATGATGATACTTTTCAAGAGGCTTATGCTCTCTAGAGTGGAATACTGTTGCACAATTATAGCCCCTTTCAAAGCTGGATAAATTGCTCGCCTGGGGAGCGTGCAGAGATCCTTTACTGCTAGAATCCACTCTGTAAAACATCTAAACTATTGGGACCAACTAAAATGCCTAAGTCTGTGTATTCTAATAAGTGCAGGCGGGAGAGATAATAATTTACACATGGAAAATATTAGAAGGGCTGGTCCCATACCTGCACACAGAAATAACACCACACGAGCCCATAAGGTAAGGCAGGATATGCAGAATACCCCTGTTGAAAAGCAGAGGTACAATAAATACTCCGAGAGAGAATTCCATCAACATCAGAGGCCCGAGATTGTTCAACATGCTTCCACTACATACAAGGGGCATAACTTGCTGACCCTTGCAGTGGTCAAGAGAACTTGATAAACACCTCCAAAAGATATCTGATCAACCAGGTTGTGAACAGCCATGTCAAACAGCCTGGTTGACCAGTCTGGCAACGAGGAGGCCCGATCGATGACCGGGCCACGTGGATGTTGAGCCCCGAAATCATCGCAAGGTAACTGTAAGGTAATCTATACGTTGAGTGTAAGGATAAAATTAAATTAAAATAGAATATCTCTTTATGCCCCCAGAGGGGAGTTGGGCTTCAACCTGAAGGCAGGAAACCTGGTCACTAGGATTGACTGCATGATGAACCCTTGGTCTGAATGGGGCCCGTGCTCCGTCACCTGCGGGAATGGTCGCAAGGAGAGGAGACGAACAATAAAGGTGAGTTGGTGTCAGGCTCTCCTGCTGGGTACACTCTGCCACTGCTGTAGTAGGTGCTTTGGCAGACAACTCTCAGCCGATGAGTGTAGGTGTTGGGTGGAAGCACAAGTGTAGGAGAGTGACAGTTGTGGCTAGTTGTAGGTGGTGAGCAGTAGGATATACAAGTAGGTGCTGGATGATCTCGGGCAGGTGGTACAGAGGGTGCATCTTGGTGGTATAAGATGGTATATCTTCCTGTACCACCTACACTAGATATATCTAGATGGTGCAGGGGGTACAGGATGGTGTAGGTGAGGAAATCCAATAGAAACCATGAGGATTTGAATCTATGCCCTGGATGCTCCCAAGCACATGCCATGGACCACTACATCACATGGTCAAAAGCATTTGCAACCTGGGATTCAACCGAATCCTCTAGGGAGGGGGGTCATGAGGCTTCATCTGGAGTAAAGTCAGGGTTTCATGCACTGTTCCTCATGCACTCTGGCTGTGGTCCAGTAGTTCACCTCCAATGCTTCTCTTGAAATTAACAAAAATCCCATTAACATGATGTATCAATGCTCAAATCATTCTCATGGCTCCTGCCAATTTTCTCATTGATAAATCACATTAGTGTGATTGTGCGTGGGGTAGGTGGTATGGAAGACAGCTGCGTCTAAAATGTAAGCATCATGAAAGGGAATGCTTTGTTTGGAAGACACTTCTTGTGTTTAATTATTTCAGATGGTGTATGCAATTATGTAAGTTGTTACAGGATTAGTTACACTCGTGGTGTCTCATTTTTCCCATTACTAGTACTGTTATAAAGCTTTGAAACTATTGACAGTTTTGGCCTCCACTGCATTACGTGTTCCAACTGTCTACCACTGCATTTCCAAAAAGAAAACTTCCCCTCCCACTTGTGTCCTTAGCTTTAATCTGTCCTCTTGTTCTTGGAGTTGCTGGTTGCAGGAATTCCTGTGTCAGTTTGGTAGATTTATTAGTATTTTGTAAGTGGTGATCATATTGCCTCATTTTTTCTCTAATCTTTTAGTTTTGACATGTTTAAAATCTCTAGTCTACCTTTATATATATATTTATATAGAAGATTTTTGGAGAAGTGATTTTTGATTTACCTCCAACAGTGAAGCATAATGTACGAAAGATTGAGAAAATTCGTGTTAGAATTATTAATCTTACTTTTTCGGTCATATTTAATAATATATATATATATATATATATATATATATATATATATATATATATATATATATATATATATATTAATATATATATATATATATATGTCGTACCTAGTAGCCAGAACGCACTTATCAGCCTACAATGCAAGGCCCGATTTGCCTAATAAGCCAAGTTTTCATGAATTAATATGTTTTCTCTAGTTTTTTTCTTACGAAATGATAAAGCTACCCATTTCATTATGTATGAGGTCAATTTTTTTTAATGAGTTAAAATTAACGTAGATATATGACCGAACCTAACCAACCCTACCTAACCTAACCTAACCTATCTTCATAGGTTAGGTTCGGTTAGGTAGCAGAAAAAGTTAGGTTAGGTTAGGTAGGTTAGGTAGTCGAAAAAACATTAATTCATGAAAACTTGGCTTATTAGGCAAATCGGGCCTTGAATAGTAGGCTGATAAGTACGTTCTGGCTATTAGGTACGACATATATATATATATATATATATATATATATATATATATATATATATATATATATATAATGTCGTACCTAGTAGCCAGAACTCACTTTTTAGCCTACTATGCAAGGCCCGATTTGCCTAATAATAAGCCAAGTTTTCCTGAAATAATATATTTTCTCAATTTTTTTTCTTATGAAATGATAAAGCTGCGTATTTCATTATGTATGAGGTCAATTTTTTTTTATTGGAGTTAATTTTAACTTAGATATATGACCGAACCTAACCAACCCTACCTAACCTAACCTATCTTTATAGGTTAGGTTAGGTAGCCGAAAAAGTTAGGTTTGGTTAGGTTAGGTAGGTTAGGTAGTTGAAAAACGATTCATGAAAACTTGGCTTATTAGGCAAATCGGGCCTTGCATAGTAGGCCAAGAAGTGCATTCTGGCTACTAGGTACGACATTACATATATTATATATATATAATATTAGTTCTAGATGGTATTTTGTAGCATGTCTTTGCACCTTTTCCAGTTTGTACGCTTCTTGAGATATGGGCACCATAAAACTATGCGTGTGTATGTAATTACCCAAGTGTAGTTACAGGATAGGACGTGTGTGTGTGTGTGTGTGTGTGTGTACTCGCCTAATTGAGTACACACACACACACACGTCCTATCCTGTAACTACACTTGGGTAATTACATACACACGCATAGTTTTATGGTGCCCATATCTCAAGAAGCGTACAAGTGTGTGTGTGTGTGCGCGCACGCACGTGACTGTGGGTGTATTTCTATACACTTGTTCTGCTGTGTAAGCTATAACAATATTGTTATAGCTTACACAGAAATATAAGAAAATTATCTTTTGTAAACAATGTGGTAGACGGTTAGAAAAAGTTTGCTGAGGTGGTGGTGGAGGCCAAGACCGTCATTAGTTTCAAAGCGTTATATGACAGTGTGCTGGGAAGACGGGACACCACGAGCGTAGCTCTCATCCTGTAACTACACTTGGGGAATTACACTCTCTCTCACTCTTCCCCCATTCTCATCTCTTTATCTCCCCCATCACAGAGGCAACCAGAGAATGGAGGGAGGAGATGCCCTAAGAAGCTGGTGAGGAGCAGGAGGTGCAGGAACCCACAGTGCAGTAAGTAGATGGCTCAACGACTCCTTCCCCCCCACCCCCTTGGAACTTTTTAACCTGTTACAGTACTGCAACATCTCTATCCCTCTTCCTGTCACTTCCTTCGTGTGCCCATGTTCATCTGTCTTAAACCATCTTCGTCTCTCTGCCTCCTGTTTGTACTTGCATACAGATAGATGAACATTACTTTCAATTCTTAGTTTTAACTTTACAGACAAAGTAATAATAATAATAATAATAATAATAATAATAATAATAATTTTTATTTAGGTAAGGTACATACATAGAGATTTTACAAAGTTTGTTGGCTTTATAGATAGAGCTAGTACATACAATGCCTAAAGCCACTATTACGCAAAGCGTTTCAGGCAGGAAAAACATTAATGACTAAAGCTTAAAACTAATGGGTAAAAAGAATAAAATGTGTCGAACAAATAAAAATAGAGGTAAAAGAGGGGGGAACATTGTTGAAAAAGCAGCACAAATACAATTACAAATTATTACAGAAAATTACATTCAAACAGCGTTTATTTGAAAAAAAAAAAAAAAAAAAAAAAAAAACATACATGGGTTGACAACAGAGGGGTAAGGTAGGTTACAGGGAATTTATTAGGTATAGCTTCGTTTTTAACTTAAACTGGTTGAGAGAGGTACAGTCTTTAACATGGTTGGGAAGGTCATTCCACATTCTGGGCCCCTTGATTTGTAGAGCATTTCTGGTTTGGTTAAGTCATACTCTAGGAATATCAAAACTGTATTTATTACATTACAAAGTAATGTTTTGTAATGAACACACACAGTTTCTTGTCTTCTAAATTGTTAGGAAAGTGCTGCCTCACTGTACTTATTCTCTTATCCATTATTTATCATGTCCTCCACTCCCCCCCCCCCCCCATTCTCCATTTCTAGCTCAGAGCCATTGAATCCTAAATTTCTTCCCTTCCCAAATATAGTTGGGTCTTGAGACCATCTGTGCTCTAGATGCAAGCAGAAGGTGCATCAGTTTGGCATCCTGTGTGTGTGTCTGTGTATGGGTTCTTCGGCAGAAGACGAGCCATTATCTTCTCATTCTGAAAGAGATGCAGAAGACAAGCCTCAAGGTTCACGCCTGCACCACCTCGATGATATTTTCTACCAAGCAAATGTGACACTTTGTTGCTACAACTGTAAACACAGAGACGACAGAGGAGTTGGAACATAGTTCGATGTTTAGTTGTCTTGGGTAGATGGAAAGTTTTGTTTTCATAAATCATAAAAATTTCTTTTCATAAAGAAATCATAAAACAAAGTAGTAGTTTATTTCTGACCACCAAACCTGGTGTAGAGGCCGTAACAGCTGCGACAATGGCAGCAGGAGCAGAGATGGTTTGTACAGGTGTTGGTTGGAAAGTCAGATTTCCCAACAGATGCATGCAGCATATTAGTATTTTTTTTTTTTAAAGTGTCTTCACTTATAATAATTTGTATTCATAGGAAGTGAAGAGCATGTTTGCAATATTGCATTCCTGCATGAGTGTTCCTAAGAATTTTTTAAACATGAAAATAAACGTGTAAAATAAATTGGGTATCAATCGATGTCTTTACAGGTAAATTACAAAAGACAAAATCAAATATTATATATACAGTATATACATAGTCTTCCTAATTTACTTTTAAAGACATTACTTGATACCCAATGTATTTTTATTGTAAAATAACGAGATGAGAAAGTCTGTTTGGAAATATTTGTGTATCTATTAATATATTGTGACATGTTATTTAAACCAAAATATTACTTTTAAGATATATATATATATACACACACACACACACACACACATATTATGAATGTATGTGTAATGTAATATAATACCGTATATTAACCATATCGTGGATAATATTTCATTCACTTGGGCCATCGCAGTCTTTTAATCGCAGACCACACAAGTAGCAACCTGGAAGTTCTGCCTACTGAACCAACACTGCCCACAATAAGGAAGGATTTAAGACACTCATCTGTTGTCCTACTGGTGGAACTTTTAAGTCCTCCCTGAGGTGCCACTTTTGGCATGAAGGTGTTAGGATAAATGTCTATAGAATCCTTGCTTGTTGTATATGCTGATGGCTTGGACGGTAGAGCTGCAGGTTGCTGCTTGTGTAATCTGCATTTCAAGGCTCCATTTGTTCAATTGAATGAAATGTTATCCATGATATAGTAGTTAGCAATTACATGCATACATAGGTATTTATAGTATTACACAAATATGCTCAATACATGACACAAATTCATCAAAATGTTTATAAAGGCATACATACACACATTCATAAATAAATTCAATGAAAGTCTATTGCATTAAAATATAAAATATAAATTATTGCCAATCTCTCATAAAAATTGCATACAAATTTTTAGGAAATTAGATTCGATTGATTTTTATCAAGTATCCATATTAGTATTACTGTCTGTGGGCTTGAAATTGTCATTGTAAAAGCTTTTTGTTTACCCAAAAAAGTTTTTTGGGTATCTACTTCAAATACCATTGATGTTGAAAACGTATAGGTTTAGGAAAAAGTTCCTAAAAGTCTCAATCTCTCTCATTTTAGGGAAATGAACACAAAGTAAATAATCACAATTTTTTTTAAAAGGAAATGTGAAATTTTTAACCTGTCTGCAAAATTTGGCTAATTTCACTTTTATCTTAAATGAGTCACAGATTTGGATAAATGTACAAAGGAAAATATACTCCCATCTCTGTCTATACACTTGGGAGTTGACTTTAGTTCTGGAGTGAGTCCAGGACATGTGTATGGGTACATGAACATGTATAGGGTCTTGAAGATGTGCCTACTTAAGCTGGTATACTTTTTGTAAAATGTGTCATAAATCCAGTTTTGTAGCGTCTCATGTTTAGTAATTTTTTGGTTTAAGTGACAAATTTTTGCTTATGATTTTTAACTTTTATTTTTCTGTAAATGATACTAGTTTGCTTTTGCTTGGCCTAATGTGCTATGTTAATACTCACTTCGTTACAATTGTTGGTAGTGTGTTTAGCATTTGGTAGCCAATTACCTAGAAATAAAAGCTTTCTTATGATTTGACGTTTGCCTGTAAACCCCTCTTGCCTTAACCATGCCTACCCCGCACCCTTCCCCTTGGACGAGAAGCGCACAATAATATATTTGCATATACTGCTATATATATACTGTATAAACATTATATATATATGTGTGTACATATTACATACACGCTTTATAACACGAGAATTAACTGAAATGAACGGCAGGTTCTATTTTAAACTTGGTGCTAGTCAAGTGTCAGCAGTGGTATGTGTATGCCAATCGGTGGACCCATCAAATTGGTGAATATACACAGGCTTTACTTTGGTCCTAATCATTGTACAGAACTAAAGTAGTCCTGAACCAGAGGTTGAGAGGCTTGTTGTGGCACTCCAGATCTCTGCAGAAGACGTATGAGACGAGGTTTATTAGTGAAACTTTAATAAATTATAAATTATAGTATATTAAATAATTGAATAAATAACAATGGATAATTTATAAATTTATTATGAATGGGATCTTTCAGTAAAGACATTTGCTAGTGGAAAATACCGTTTTGTAATTTTAATCCAGAAATAAGACTCGAGAACTGAGAAATGGTAACATAGTCTTGTAAATTGTTTCCGAGTTTGTAATTAGGCGCAGCTGTAATTTTCCCTAGCTGTAGTTCCTTACCTTTTAGTTATATGGTTGTAGTTTCCCTAGCTGCAATTCTCTAGCTGTAGTCACCCAGCTGGAGGCAGTCGTAATAACCTAGCTGCACTTTTAGAAATTGTTTCGGCTCTAGTGTCCATAATAAAAGGAATC